CCTTCTCTGGGCTAAGTCATCTCGTTGTAGCACAAGGCTCAGCTACCAAAGAGGCGGCCGGGAAGCCCCAAATCCCATAGCTGCTGGAAATAACTGAAGGTTTTCAAGCTTTAGTTTCCCCCGCCCCTAACACCTGAAAAACAGAGATGGTAATACCTCCTTGATAGGATGAATATATTGCAGAACACTTTTTCCTTTTTCTTTTTGTGGGTAGTGCTTGCTTGAACTCCCAGGCTTGGGCATTGTTCCTTAGTTGTTTTGTTTTTACTCAAGGCTGGTGCTGTGCCTCTTGAGCCACAGCTTCATTTCCAGCTTTTTGCTGCTTCATGGGCCCCACAGACTTTCCTGCCCAGGCTTTCTCTGAACAGAGATCCTCAGATCTCAGCCTCCTGAGTAGCCAGGATTACAGGCATGAGCCGCCCAGGTGGCTGAGCATCTGATGTTCTAAGAACTCCACGAATGGTAGCTACTTGGGCTGTTTTGTTGAGCCAAAGTGTGGTGGATGTAGCTTGGTACACCGATTCGTACAAAAATGCGTATTACAACCATCCACCCTGGTGTGACAAAGGCGAAAATCTATCAGTATCGTTTGAAGCAGGATGTGGGCTCATCACTGAAGCCTATGGCAGGTGACCCCCACCAGAGAGATGGGGGAGAGGAGACATCGGGTCCATGGTCAGAAGCAATTCCATTCTCCCTAGGGATGACGCATGAGGCCCACCAGGCCCCTTCAATAAGGTACAGCGGGAGCAAGTGCTGGGGGCGGGGTGGGGGGGTGGAGAAATGAGAATCTTTCCTTGGGCCACATTCACGGAGAAGACCGGCACCGTGTGAGGCACTGGAGGTACACGTATGTGGTGAGAAGTCATCACAGATTGCAGAATGGTGAGCTCACTGAAATGCCAGTGTGAGGCTCTGTGCCAAGATTTAGCGTGGACTTAATGCTAGGCAGATATGAGGTTGGATGTTGTTCGGAGGAGCTGTCTGGCAGAGAGTTTGCACTGATATTTAAGAAGTGGATGCTGGGTGCGGTGGCTCACTCCTGTCATCCTAACCACTCAGGAGGCTGAGAGCTGAAGATCATGGTTCAAAGTCATCCCGGGCAGGAAAGTCCATGAGATTCTTATCTCCAATAAACCACTCAGAAAACCAGAAATGGTCCTGTGGCGCAAGTGGCAGAGTGCTCGTCTTGAGCTGAAGAGCTGAGGGACAGCGCCCAGGCCCTGAATTCAAGCCCCATGACTGACAAAAAAAAAAAAAAGTGGATTTGCTGGTTCCCTGGGTGAGTCATTTCCTATCTCTGGGCCTCAGCATCGTCTCTGGAGAACAAGGGAGGGCAGGGAAGAGCAAGAGCTTCCTGGAGGCTCAGAGCCCTGTTTGTTCGCAGGTGTCATCCAGGAGGAACGGCTGGGGGCTGGAGGAGCGTGATTCTGAGCTCTCGCCTCACAAACAACCTCAGCAGCTAAGGAGCTTCACAGAGCCATTGTGTGACGTGGATGTGTTTCAAAACATAGTTGCTGCTGACCTCCACAACTAGGTGATACAAGGAAGAACTTTTGGGTTTTTTTTTTTCGCCTAAGTCTAGCCATGGGGAAGAAGGAAGTCCAGAATGCAGGCAGGACCCACAGCCGGTCGCAGGACACGTGTACCTCCATGCAGAGCCACTGCGGCCTGCCTGTGGTCACCGGGTGAAAAGGCACAACGCCCCCCGGAAGCCCCAGGATTCCCCTAAAGACCCCTCGGAAACCCCAGGATTCCCCGTAAAGACCTTATAAAACCGGCCTGGCCTTTGACACTTTGCAACAAGAACCCCTCTGGCCATTACCTTACCCAGTGTCTCCACTGCTGCTGACCTAGCCACAGCAGACGGTTCTGGGAAGAGCGGGGAGCCATCTGCTCGTGAGCCAGCCCTCCCTCCCCCTGTACCGCGTAGCATGGCCGCTGCTGGCTGTCCTTGAGGGCCGGCCAGCCAGAGCACGACCTGCAAAGAGCTGTAAGAACGCTGCTCTTCCTGCCAGACGTCCCATTAGCTCTCCCCACCCTCCCCGCCCCGCTCTGACTCTTCCTTCACTAACCTGACATCCTTTTTCCCAGCCCCTTCCTCCTCGTGCCCTGATTTCTGAAGCCTTCCAGATTCCTCCAAATGCTAAATATGTCGTGGGAGTGGTCCGGGCTAAGAGGCCCAGCCTGACGCCTGGAAGGTGTCCTCCTGGTTGTGAGACCCTGCGGCCTGGGCAGCGAGGTAAGCCCAGACAAGACGCGTTCCTGGGGCAGAATCAGGCCACCGCCCCATTGCAGCCCCTCCTGCAGGGGCTGCTTCCGGGCCCACAACTGTCCAGGCACACACTCGAGCTTGTGGGAGGGAGGTTGGGGGGGGGGGGGGTAGAAAGAAGAAACGGAGAGGCAACAGCAGTGAGAGAAGAATTGGGACAATCGAGGCAGAGAAGTCAGAAAGGAGGTAAGGGAAACAAAGTTAGAACAGAGGGAGAAAGCAGGAGAAAAGGAGAGAGGGGAGGGGAGGGAAAGGAAGGAAGGGGAGGAAAAGGACAAGGGGGAGGGGGAAAAGGAAGGGGAGGGAGGGGAGGGGGAGAGAGAACACAGGTTGCTCTGATTTACTAGGGAAAAAAATCACCTATGCTAGAAGTAGCACTATTTCTTAATGAAAGCTTGATTAAATTATAGTAATAAAAAGCTAAGTGGTTTTCAGCTGGAATCAACACAAAAGGACACAACTCCCAATAGAGGAAACCTCAGGGAAGGGTCTGGGCCATGAGAGCTAAAGAGGAGTGGAGGAAAAGAGGGAGCGCGTGGGCTTGGTTCCACCTCTACCACCCACACAGTGAGGCCGTGCCCGCGTGACGCTGCGGGCACTGAGGCAGGCCCCGGGCCTGGAGCTCTCACTTGGCTTCTTCTTCGCTCAACGCTGGCACCCTACCGTGTGAACCACAGTTCCCCTTCCAGCCTTCGGGTGGTTAACTGGAGAGAAGACTCTCCAGACTTCCCTGCCCTGGCTGGCACTGAAAAGCTGGCCCAGCACAGGCCGGAGACAATTCCCACTAGCTACCGACTTCCCAGGAGCTTCAGCACGGGGGTTCTGACGCGTGTAACTCAGTGGCAGGTGACCACGTGCAGATCCTTCCACAGCACTAAGCTGGAGGACTAAGGAAGGTGCTCAGCTACCTGAGATGCTGAGTCTTCCCCCACCGAGGCAGGTCGGCTGCCAGGATGTCTACACGGCGCGCCGTTCTCAGGCTGGCCAAGCCCCTCCGCTGGACAAGTCAGCCCTCACTCACCCACCTGCCTCCAACGCCAGCCACTGGATGTGGAAAAAGCCACGCCGTGAGCACACAAATGACCAGAGCCCGGATGGGAAACGCGGAAGGAGTTCACTGCCACACAGGAGCGGGTGCTCTGTTGACGCCTGACGATCGTTTTCTGTTCCTTCTCATCTCCAGGGCCAGATAACTTCTGGCTCTTCACACACACACACACACTCACACACACACACACACACACGTAAACACACTCAAACACAGACACGCTTTTTCTACCTTTGCTCCACCTGCAGGACATCCTGCTACGGACAGACTTGTGTGCTTTCTATCACGTTCCAAGAAACCAAATGGACTCAAGCCTCGCTGCCCCTCCCCTGCCCCGCTTTGGTCTATGAAACAAAGCATGGGGTGATTTTGGGCTATTCCTTGGCGTGTGTGGCTGGCAGGGTTGTATGGCTGGAGGAAGAGGGTGCTTCCATTTTTGTGTATTTGGTTAGAAGTGCTATGAATGTTCAACCATACCTCCAAGTCTCCGGCTCTCGGCACAGAAACAAATACCAACGGAAGGGATTGGTTTCCAAGGGGCGAAATTAAAACAGATGAAGAAGGAAGATGTGGGGATATAAAAATATAAAGCTAAGGCTAAGGCTCCGTTGCTCGGTGGTGCATGGTGGTTTCTTTGGATTTTACACGTGAAATTGGCTCCCAGTGTAATTAGGCCAGAGCTGCTAAGAGTTAAAAAAAACAAAAACAAAAAGAAAGAAAGAAAAGAAAACAAACTTCCCAGTTATTCAGAACCCCAGAGCTATTTCTTTTTTGCAATCACTCAAGAAACTGAGGAAAAGAGCCGACTTTTTAATATGTTTGTTACCAACCTCGACCCTGGCCACACAATTGCCCACACGCTACTCACCCCAAGGATCCAGTCCTGAACCGAGCTGAGAACGCAGGTATGGCTCCTCCCCAGCTTTCTATTCATTGCTCCACCTCCCGGGGAGCCTGGGATTCATCCTGACTCTCTGCTGGGGCTGGTGACCCTGTTCTAGAAGGACCTGGGGCGTCCCCGGGCCACAGCAAGCAGCAGGGCCAAGCGTGGTGTCACGGGACGCGTCCACGCAGAGAGATGCTGTCTCTCTTCTCTGTGACCACGCAGACGGAGCCACCACCATGTTTTCCGTCTCCTTCCCAGAACCAGCCTCCCTCACACCTATAATCCCAACCACTCAAGAGGCCAATGTCAGAGGAGCACAGCTCAAAGCCAGCCCAGGCAGAAAAGCCTGAGAGATTCTTATTCCCAGTAAACCGCCTCAAACCAGGAAGTGGAGACAGGTGAAGCAGCAGCCTTGAACAACAACAACAACAACAAAGCCAAGGAAGAGCACCAAACCCTGAGTCCAAGCCCCAGTACCGGCACACAAGGAGGGAGGGAGGGAGAAGACAGATGAAGAAGAAAGAGGAGGAAGGAGGAACGAGGGAGAGGGAGGGAGAAAGGAAAAGAGAATGGGGAAGAGGAAAGAAGGAATGGAGGGAGAGAGGGAGGGAGGGAGGGAGGGAGGAAAGGAGGAAGGGAAAAGGAACAAAGAAAGGAAGGAAGGAAGAAAAAACAAAGGAACAATGAAAGAAAGAGCAAGAGAGTGAAAGAGAGAGAACGAAAGAGGACAAAACACAACCTTACACTAAATCAGCAGGGGAAAGAAACAGCAGTGTTTCAAAGACAGTGCTTACTGGATTTCAGCAGTGCTGCCAGAACTTCCGTGGCTGCCCTGGGGAAGGAGAGACAGGGGTGAGACGTGAATGTTGGTGATCGCTGTCTGCCCGCTCCTGGATCCCACCGCCAGGGACGGCGGTCACGGCCACCCCCACGGGCTCCTCAGTGACCGGGCCGCAAGCGGGCGGTGGACGGCCATGCTGAGCAAGGTGTCCAGCCGGCAGACGGGCCCCAGACGTCCACTGTGTTGAAGTCCCCACTTCCCCCCACCCCGGGCCCGCCCTTCACACCTCCCACCCCCCAGCATGCCTTGCTCTTCTGTCATTCGCACCCGTCAGACCTCTGATCAGTCTCTGGGTAACAAACAGGTGTGTCATCAGCCTTCATACATGTTATGTCACTGATCATGTACTGTAACATGATTACTGCCACTAGTAAGATTATTCATACTACGTCATACTAGGTCTTACATTTTTAACATATAAAAGGATTTTCACAAGTAAGTCTTTTTTGTTGTTGTCAGTCATGGGGCCTGAACTCTGGGCCTGGGCGCTGTCCCTCAGCTCTTCAGATCAAGATTAACACTCTACCACTTGAGCCACAGCACCACTTCCAGTTTTCTAGGTGGTTTATTGGAGATAAGAGTCTCACAGACTTTCCTGACCTACTCTGGCTTTGAACCACGATCCTTAGCTCTCAGCCTCCTGAGTAGCTAGGATGACAGGTGTGAACCACCACACCCGGCGTTATTATCATTTTTTTAAAAAGAATCCATGTCTCTTTGAAACACTGTGGTGGTAGTAAATTTTAAAAATTGGTCGATATTACCATAGAAAAATAACATGATGGGCCCAAAACGCACTATAAAATAAACACCTTTAGACAACGCAGCGTGGGAAATGTCTCTGCTTCCAGCATGTAAAATAAATCTGTGCTGGGGTGGGTGTGACCCTCGCATACCCCACGGTTGACATGAATGAGCTGCCAAAAACTTATCGGACTTGGGGAAGATCATGTTTCTCTCATAACTTTATTTTTTACAATCAGGACAGGAAGCTCATTTAAAAAAAAAAAATTAAGTCACTGATCTGTGAGTGTAATGATGCTAGCCAGTTCTTTTTCTTTTCCTTTATGTAGATGCACTGTCGCTGGAAATACACCTCAGGAAAAAGGAAGCTTGCGGGGGAAATAAATGAAGAAACAAAAACATTCGATTGTTTTTAAATTGAAAAAGAATAAAATAAATTGACAAATCTTCCACAAAACTGCATCTGGACCTTCGGACACCTGAGTCAACACACTGAGATATGTGGATGACAATTAAGAGCCTCTATGAGGGAACTGGACTTCGAAAATCATCTTTGTGTTGGAAATGGATGCAATCCCCAGGTGCGGGGCCGAGCCTGGTCTTCAATAAACACGGCGTCTTGGCCCTCACAGCAGGACAGCCTGCAATGTCACCATCACCCGTGTTTAGTTTAACAACCACGCTGATCAGACTAAATGGGCTTAAGGATTAGATGCCTTTATGAGGGTGGATTTTGTACATTTGCAGAGTGTTTGCTGATAAATAAAATTAGATCCAACGAATATAAACTGGGAGAAATAATGTTCCTTGTAAACACTAGGCAATTTAAGGGGGGTGGGGGGAGACTTTTTCGAGAGAGGCCAGAATCTTTCATGCTGCCAAAAGCCTGCCTGAAAATTCATTTATCAGATTTACTCTACTCAAACCACGCATGTCGCCAGCAGAAGAGTTTATCCAAAAATGGAGCAGGCCAGCTGTTGAGTAATGTCACAATTTCCGTAACAGTACCAGACCATGAACGGAAAGAACCAAAAAGCACGGCCCCTCCCCACCCCCCAAGAAGAAGGAGAGCCAGCCATTTTTGTCAGGCGGGAGTCCGATTATGACCGTCTGGCTCACGGTTATTAATTAGTGCCCTGTGCTATTACGTCCTCTGAGAACTATCAACAAAATATGTTCTGCGGTGGCCAAATATTTGTGAAGGCTTCAAAAGAAATATTAAGTCGTTTAAGACAACTTAGCAGACAGAGAGGGATGGTAGTTCCAGGCTAGGAGTTCTGTTGAAGACAAACCTCGGGAGAAGTTCCATTCAGACGAGCGTGGGGACCACTTCCCGGGACACTCTCCCATCCTGAAATGGTTGAGGAAGTCATAATCCCTCGGCGCATATGTATCTAAGCAAAGGAACAGGGTAGACAGGGTAGCGCTACACATTTGAGTAGAAAAGAAGGACTTGTCGGCCAGGTGTCAGTTGCTCACACCTGTCATCCTAGCTACTCAGGAGGCCGAGATCTGAGGATAGTGGTTCAAAGCCAGCCTGAGCAGAAAAATCCATGAGACTTTCATCTCCAATAAGCCACCAGAAAACTGGATGTGGTGCTGTGGCCCAAAGTGGTAGAGCGCTAGCCTTGAGCTGAAGAGCTGAGGGACAGCGCCCAGGCCTAGAGTTCAAGCCCCATGACTGACCAAAAACAAAAACAAAGACCTTAAATAGCCAATATCCATTTCGTCAATTTTGCTTGCTGTGCTATTGTACGTTTAAACTATCATCACTGCTCTGAGTCTTTACTAGAATTTGCCATGGGAGCCTGCACAAATGAACACTGAGAGAAAAGAGACAGCAGATTGCTCTTCAATCTGAAGACACAGTCAGAAGGTTTGCGGGCCAGGGAGAGGCTGTCATATACACAGAATTTATTTGGTGGAACGTCCCTAGGCTCCATTTTGATAGGGGACTATGTTTGGGAATACTGTGGTTTGAGTATTTCCCAAAGGTCCATGAATAACAGTTTGAACTCTGGAGTGACAGACCCAAGACGTGTTGGGTTCTTGGGAGAAGCAGAGCCTCACAGAAGGCACTTACATCGCTGGGGGAGGGGGGCCCCCTGTAAAAGGGGACACTTGGCTTCTTTGGCCTGTGAGTCTCCCCCTACCCCTGCCTCACCAGACAAATGGGCAGAGATGCCTTGCCTACTCCTTCACCCCATCCCACCCCTCCCCGTGCCCACGGAGAGCCCAGCTGTGGCAGGCTGTCAATAAGTGCGTGGTGAAAGAAGGAATGTGTAAGTGAGTGAGGCATTTAAAAGAGAAAAACCTTCATAGATCAGTTGAAGGAGTGAATCATTCATGCTTCGTGACGATCATAAAAGAATAAATTTATGCTCGTCATAAAATAATGTCGACAAGTGGGAGGGGATATGTCAAAGACAGTATATTTGTTTCAGGTTCTGCAGAAAGACCTAAATGACAAACTGCAGAAATATATATATATAGAGAGAGAGAGAGAAATGTATATATATTCATACATATGCATGCATAGAAGGAAAGATATATGTACACACACACACACACACACACACACACACACACACGTCTTTTATCTAAGACCTTGCTAACTTATTCCCTTCATGCCTAGTTTGATGGGGTTGAGACCATGATTTAATCTCTATGGTGTAAATTTTCAGGCTCTGGCATTCCTTTTGGAATAGAGGATGACCAACCTATCACGAGCCCCAAGACCAGCAAGTCTCCCCTTGACCACCACCCCCCTCTGAGCTCCTCAACAGAGAACTGAGAATTCATCCCGTGATATATTAACTTGGGACATCACCGAGGTTATCATAGGTTAATTAGCTGTGAAACTGGCTCACAATGCAGGAAGTCAAGTTCCCCGGTGCACAGGAAGACAGACAACCCGCACGAGAGAGCGTGGATTACCAGAACATTCTCCTTCTAGAAATGATCATCACAGAAATCCAAAAACACATCACAATGAAGGATCTTCTGAATCAGACAGATGCTGAAGGCGAAGCTGTGATCTGGCAGGGCAAGTGGAAGCCAAAGGGGGAAAAAAAAAAAGGAGGGGGAGAAAAATACCCCAAGGCTACAGTGAAGTAGACACTGAACTCCATTAGTATATAACACTTTCCCTTGGCAAACTCTGAAGTGTAGACCCAGACAGGTTGACAAATGAGCAGGATCAGGGAGGAAGATGATTAAGAGAGTGGAATAATTGATATATGAGGAAAGAAGTTTGGGGAAAAATCTAATTATGAAGAGACCCAGCCAAACGATGAGTTTGCTGACAAAGTGCAGATGTACTTCTGGTTTGTCCTCCATGAGAAAACCCCAGAGCAGGATAAGAACAAAATGAGTTGTTCCAACAGGATGTGAGTAAGAGTGCAAGGAAGAAATTAAAACAAAAACAGAAAAAAAAAAACCACACAGGAAAGACAAGACCTTGTAACAGAGTTCCAGGCCTGAAGGCCTCATTCCCAGAAAGAGAACGTAGAGGTGGCCCCGCTGGCTCTCTCTGACCAGCTAGGCCGCCCAGAAATGCTACTATTTCCTATTAGCGTGTTGACTTCACACAAACAGCTTCTGTGTTTATGATAGGAGTATCGTTGTGATAAACATAGAAAGCATTCCAAAATTTACAAGTCTTGAGTCTCTTGAAGAGTCTAGCTATACTTGACTTAGACCAGGGAAAATCTGAGGCCGTACTTCCTGTATTAGTCTCTGCCCTGCCTTGAAATCCTCCACTAGGTTAAGAAACAAAACTTCATCATCATCATCATCGTCATCATCATTATTATTATTATTAGTTGTTAAATTCAATTAGCAAATACTTCATTAAGGTATTATTATTATTAGTTGTTAAATTCAATTAGCAAATACTTCATTAAGGAGTTTGGTGTCTATGTTCAGCAAAGGGATTGGCCTAGAGTTCTTTGTTGTTGAATCCCTATGTGGTTTCGAGATATGTGTAATGCTGGCTTCACAGAATGAATGTATAGTAAAGGACCCTAGGGCACACACACAAGAGCATGCACGTGCATGCATGCACGCAGACACACGTGCACACACACATGCACACACACACACACACACACAGGCTGGTAGAATTGCAGGAGACACTTCTTATGTATAGATCAGTATTTTAGCAAAGCAAATACAAAACTTGCAACAGGCTTTTAAGAGGTAATTATTGATTCCTCCCACACATGAGATGAGTCAACTCTCACCAA